AATTTACTTATTGTATTATAATATTCTGTATACAGATTGTAAATATTCATTAAATAAAATAAAAAAAAAAAAAAAACAACAATGCGTTTTTAAAATTACAGTCACTAATTTTAGATCGTTTTTTAGTGCATATATCTCCTGCTATGATAAACAAACGTTCAACAGAAGCACTTGAGGGTAAAACAGTATTATACTTCAAAAAAATTAATCTCATTATTGGCATGTATTTTAAAATAGTTAAATTACCATTAAAAGGAGTAAATAAAAAACGTTCAAGTTCAGCATTAGAATGCTCTTGTTTTATATCTTCATGAAGAATGAATCATGCATCAAAAATAATGTTATCATTGACTTCCTCAACTTGATTTTGCTCTAAAGTATTATTATTAACAGGTTTGAAATATTCTATTTCGCTTTGAAGGATGTCAGTGGCTTTTTATTTTTCCATTACTGACATACCTTTAAACTTTTATTGTTCTTAACATATATTAAACTAAAAAAAAGTGACGAATAATTTAGTAATAATAACTACAAAAAAGTAACTTAAATTACATTTGAATTACAATAAAATGTAATTAAATTACCATCAAATTACTTAAAAAGTAATTTCGTTACAGTAACTTGTAACTTAAGTTACTCAACAACACTGTCAGTGGTGTATACAAACGGGGGATGTAGAGTTCAGATCCCCCCTATGCCTTTTCTTAAATGTTATAAATTATAAATAAATTAGTGTGAGGGCGTTAGGAACGTAAAAAAAAAATGATAGAATAAAAATAATGATTTGATTGCAAATAATCCCCCCCTCATACAAAAGTTATGTATACGCCACTAAAGAGGATCATTAATGGCCGGCAATATAATATTTTAAAACACTTTTGTAAAATAAAATATATTATATATTTTTAAGTGTAAATTAAAAATTATGTTTTTATTATATATGGTTAATCGATTACGATTAAAAATGTACTTTGAGATAAAATGGGTCAAAATTAAAAATAAACAATACTACATTTCTTCTAAACATCCAAGCCGGAACATATGGACGTCCCGAAAACATTTTTTGGGACACAGACGCGAAGTCCAAAAACGGTGACAATCCCGGTTTTCCGGGACGTATGGCAACTCTAATATATATATATAGTATATATCAAAAAATTATAAAGATTCCTGAAAAAGATTGACTGTAAATAAGTACGCTTTATGAAAAAACCAAAGCTGTTCCAAAAAATAATAATTAGCATTATTTAATAAAATGATAAAATATGATAACTGATTCGTGAATAATGAATATTACTAATGTTAGAAAACCAATATCTCCGATTCTAGAAGTACATTCTTATAAATACATTATTCCAATCGAAAAAAATGTTCTCTTCAAATAATGTTTTACAACAATTATTCATAAGTGCATAAAAATAATAAACAATAATCAGTGCATTTTTTAAGGGATTTTAACTCGGCGATATAAAAATGTTAAAACTCAAAGCAGCCAACGAATAATACCTCAGTATGATGATATTTCACGTTCGCTTCGCATAATTTCGCCCAATCTTTCAAAATACTATCGACAGAATATAATCACTGGGCGAAATTTGTGTCGCTTAGTTAACTGGTTAAAAAATGCACTGACAATATTAATAAATATTATATGTAAAAACATCACCACCGTGTGGAGCGCATTCTATAGAATGTGATAAATCCGAACCACATATTTTCGCTTCAGCCGGCAATGTTCGTTGTCCTCTCTCTATAGTGTTCTTATTTTTATCACAGAGAATAAATTAAATATGACGTGATAACAACTAATTTATGATAGCCCATGATAAAAACTAAATAACAACACGTGATTTTTAGTCAACAATTTTGTAACGTTTTATAGCATTTGTTTTAAATATTCTTTCGTAATAATATAGTATTACGGAAAATTTCTATTGAAATATAATGGGTAAAAAACGAAGGCGCACTGACGAAGATACTGAATTTGATTTAACCAGGAAAGCCAAAGAAGTAAAGGACGACAATGAAAAACGTTTAATTGTTATCTTAGAAAATGCACAGTTGGAAACTGTTAAGGTATTCGAATTTATATTTATGTTTAATAGTCTTATTTTTAATTTTAACTAATTTCACTGTCTCGTACCATTTACTTCTTAGGTAGGAAAAACATTTGAACTATTAAACCCTGATGAACATGGTCACATATTACGAAAACACGGCAGGGAGTTAGGAAATTGTAGACCTGATATTACTCATCAATGTCTGTTGATGTTATTCGATAGTCCGTTGAATCGAGCTGGTTTACTGCAAGTGTATATACATACTGAAAATAATGTTCTAATTGAAATCAATCCACAAACAAGAATACCAAGAACGTTCAAACGTTTTGCTGGATTGATGGGTATACATAATATCATATTTGTTTAATATGTAGTGATTGAAGTCCCTCTTAATAAGTTAATAATAAGTTATCCTCTTAATCATTAAAAGCTGCATTATAAGGATAGAGATTTAATTTAACAGACATTTAAGGTTTTTTAAGACCATTTGACTTATGACTAACTAGCCATCAGACTATAATAGTTAGATACATATTATGTATGTATAATTAATTTTAAAAGTTCTTATATTTTTGTTTGCATGTATTATATTTCTAGTTCAATTATTACATAAATTTAGTGTAAGGGCAGCTGAAACTTCTGCCAAATTAATGAAAGTAATTAAAAACCCAATCACCGATCATCTACCAGCAGGTTGCCGGAAAATAGCCACATCATTTTCAGCTTCAAAACCCATTAAACCAACAGAACTAGTTATTCAAGATGCTCCAATTGCTTTTGTTATCGGTGCAATGGCTCATGGACAGGTAATTTTATTTTTACTTTTTATTTAATATAATGATACATACCTAAATTAAATATTTCATAGATTAAAGCTGACTATGCGGAAGAAACGGTGGCAATAAGTAATTACCCACTATCAGCAGCTCTAACATGCACCAAAATATGTTCAGCTTTTGAAGATGGCTGGGGTATATTATAATATGTGTGATCATATTTTTTCCTATTATTTGGTCAAAATATTTACTGCAAACTTATTACGAAAGGATAAAGTTATTATATTAAATAAATACCTATTAAATTATAAAAATAAAAATTTGTTGAAAAAATAAAACAATTTTTAATAAAACATTGTATACTTTATTGGGATATTAAACAAATACCATATAGTAAATTTAAAATATTTTTGAAATGTTATCCATTTTATAAATTTCAATTTCATTACAATTTATTAAAAAGTATTACTTATTATTTCATGTACAATTACCTTGAAATTATTGTGAAGTATATATTGTCTTTTTTACTCATTTCTATTTAGTTTCACTGCTATAAATATAATTCTATAAGTCAATATACAATTCAAACCAGAAACTGGAACAGTTGAATTTATTGTTCCGGTTATCAGAATATAAAATACCTTTTTTAGTTCTTTATTAAAAAAGAATAAAGTTACTGGTTCCTGTAATCAGTAAAATATAATATTATTTCTTATCTAGTGAATATACTATTTATAATATACCATCACATACACCTGGTAAAGTTCGTTATAATAGTGATATAATAGTAGTAAATGAAAAATTATTTTATAATATATTGCTATCAACCAATGTTAACCCCCTATGAAATACAAAATACAATGATACTATCATAAGATCAACCAAGTCGCTAAGATATTATTTTCAATGGATGAAACATTTTGTTACGCACCATTTGCCATAGTAATACACTACTGGGCAGTGTGTCTATTACAAATATTATCATTGCTTTTTTTCAAAGATAATATAATATTGATTTTAACTATGGTGAATATTGGGAATGACCTACAAATAATACTATTTTATGATAAATATACTTTTAATAAACATTTTAAAAGTATAATAATTTTAAATAGGTATAAATCAGTAGCGGATCCACGGGAGGGGTTTTGGGGGTTAAACCCCCCCCAACATCACGAAAAATATATATTAAAAATCAATAATTTTATGAATGAAAAAAAGAATTTTTTTTTTTTTAAAGTATAAGGCAAAGTATATAAATTTTTTTTTTATTCGTACAAGAAGTAAGTTATCTTAGATTTAAATAAATGTATTATACTGCTGACTATTATCTTAATTAAGTTATTTCATACACTTAAATAAAATTTTACAATAAAATTAAAAGTTTTGAATTAAATTTTTCTTGTTTTTTTGAAAAATTCTTCAAAAACCTCATCAACTGATACATTAATATCTTTATAAATATTCATAGAAGCTAGACCATTGAGCCTTTCTTGACCTGTTGTATTTTGCAGATAGGTTTTGATTCTTTTTAAATATGAGAAACTTCGTTCAGGCGTAGCTATTGAAACAGGCAAGATTGCCATTATACGTAAAATTTTGAAAACATTGCCAAAAGACGAATGTGCACTACTGCATTAAAAAATAAAAACCCTTGATCAGTCACTGACAGCAATATTATAAATAATATCTCAAGTGCCAAAGAAAACAATTTTCAAACCCCCCCCCCCATAAAAAAATCCTGGATCCACCTCTGGTATAAATATTATGAGAATGGTTCTCTAATCATTTGTAAACAAGTTAGTAATAATAAGTTATGCTAAATAAAATGATTTTATTTTTGAATCTAAAAGAATCTTTATAATTTAAAAATTCCTGGTTAAAAATATAAATAAATAAATTTATTTTATCAAAATAGTATTGACAGTCAATTTAAATTAGGTTTTAAATAAGAATTTTGTCTTAAAAACATACCAGATTTAAATAAGAAAATTAAAAAAATATTGGCCATTTTTATATTGATGTTTTTTAATTTACAATGTTATTTTTTCATAGCAACTCTCTGATTTTGTTTATAAACAACAAACAAGTTTTTTATTTAATTTCTTAACAAAAAAGTCAGATAAAAATATAAAAAAAAATTATTTCAAGAAGTATGTATTAAAGTTATCTATGATTAAATGTATTCCCCAATGTAAATAAAGCTCAAGAAAAGCAATTTGTTTGATGTGTTAAAACATAAGCTTAAAAAAAAATAATGAATTTGTTTTAATAAATATAATTTAACAAAACTTTTCAAATTTAATTATTATTAAATAATTATAACTCATCATTATTAAATGCATTATATATTATGTTGAAAAATAGTACAATTTATTTCATTCTACTCTTATTAGTCACAACCAGGGCTCATAACTTAAAGCTTTAAAAATACTTGTTACAAGCATTGATTAAATATATACAGTATATAAAGTATATTTAATCAATGTTACAAGCGTTATAATATGATCTAAAAAATATTCATATGTGCGCTTAAATATGAACTACAAATTCTAAAATATACAAAAAAAATTAATATTATGTATAAAACAAAAATGTCTCTTCTTAAAAAAACTTAGCATGATTGCTCTCTTATTGATTACTTTATTATATGATATAAATAAATAACTTACCATACTTACTTATACCATATAAAGAATTAGTTAATAAACATAAATTAATCACAAATATAAATATTTAATACTATCAAACTTAATTAGGTACTTTTTATTATTAAGAATAAATGTTTTAAAGACTACAAAACTGAAAAAGACGTAAAAAAATAAAATAGCACTTATATTATAAAATATGCGAAAATATGCAACATAAAATTTTGTATTTAGCTTCTAAGTTATCTGAAACAAATTTATAGTTCACATAGGCATCTCTAGAACCTCTCAAAAAAAAATATGCAAATGCTAGAAGTTATGAGCTCTAGTCATAACATTTAAATATAGGGTACTTAAAGCATGAAACCTTAACACATAAATCTCATAATTCTTTAAATCCATAGAGTACCCCCAAATTTTTTAAACAATTCTTTATATATAAGAAACTCAGTTTATGTTTAAAACTATAATAATTAAAATACAATTTGTAATTAAATAGATGGAAGAATTATTAAGGTTTTTTTTTTCAACATAGGATAGTTTATTTTTTTTAATTTATTCACCAATGCATTTGCTAAGTGGTGAAACCAATAGTTATTAACTGTTCCAATTTGTGATGAGTCTATTGGTCTATTAACAGAATAGTAAAATTAAGTATTTTATTTAAAAATATAACATTTTTAGCAATAATTATACAAAAATATTTATTTTGAAATAAAAAGCAAAATATTAATGGAGACAAATGGTTGTTACGACTATTGGCATAAATGGCCTATAAAACACCAATGAAGAAAAATGAATAAAACGCAAAATCAATAATGTCTTAAAAATAATAAAACAAATAATTCAGACATTCAAAGTATCAATTAAATTTCTTAAACGTGCAATGTCAGAGGGATCAGTTTTACAACAACCTCCAAATATTTTCATTCCTTTTTTTCTCCATAAATTAAGATCATCAATTGAAATTTCATATATTTGAGTATTGTCATAACTGAAAACATATTTACCGAATTATAAATAAATTCCCTAGAAAATAATTAAAATATTAATTACCAGTTTTGAACATTGTCCCATATACCACCTCCGTTAGGGTATATAATGAAATTAACGTTTTTAGTCTTTACAGAATTTAAAAGTGGTGTAATAAATTTTGGATGCAAACAGTTAAAACCAATAGCAACTAGTTGGGAATTATTTGACCAAAACTTTTCCACAGCACTGGCAAATGTTTCTCCGTGACTTAAATGAATACCATCCTATAAAAATAAATAAAAATATTAGTAAGAATTCAAACTATATACTTCCAAAACACAAAACAGTTTACCCTCAATATCTATTGATTTTGAAATTAAATAGGCATTCTCAAAAATTGATACAATTTTGAAATAAAAGTATAATAGTATTCTAAAAATTATTACCTTGCATGAAAATGATAAACATGCTTTTTGATTAGGAAATTCAGTCAATATATTTAATAAAATATTAGCTTCTTCTACTGAAGGAATTGTTTCAAATAGTATAAAGTCAACACCAGCTTCTACCAATGCTTGGATTCGTGGTCTGTGCCAATCATATAGTTCTTTAAAATTCATACTGTCTATATAATTTCCATTGTATTCTGAACAATCACGTAATGAAGCTCCGTATGAACCAACAGATCCCATTATTTGAATACACCGTTCTATAAATTAATTAAGCTACAATAGTTCAAATAGATCTAAATAAATAAATATATATCCATTACTAAATAAATAATCAAAATGTTGTATTCACTTGAATTTTCTTCTGTTATTGCACGTCGACAAATTGCAACAGACTTCTTAATCAATTCATAACTTTTTTCATAATTCAATCCCAAATATTTTTGAAATCCTTCGATGCTTGCTTGGTAAGTACAAGTGGTTAGAAATTCAACTCCAGCTATAAACAGTATATCAATTTGTAAAAATAAAATAATACAATAAATTCGTAAGTAATTTAAAAGTGTAAAACCTCTAATATAATCTTTATGGCCACAAACAATGGTTTTTTCACTGTTATATAGTAAATTGGATCCCCAGAGTGGATGTTTTATAACGGATTCGATATCCACGTAAGGTGATATTCCACTCATAAAACTGCCATCCAAGAGGTATATTTTTTCATTTAAAATATTCAAATCCATAATTACCTGTTAACAATCTGACTAACTGTTAAAACATTTATTTTTACATTTCGGTTTTTTCTTTTCAACTATACCTTTGTATTACATCAAATTACTAACAACCACAAAAAAAAAAAAAAAAACGATTTTAGTATTTCACTGCTATTACATCGATACTGAACGTGCCAAAATTCAAAAACGGTATTTATTTAGTTAATTTAAGAATGTTCGAGAAGAAAAATTGTAAAAGCGTAGAGTAAATTAAATTCATAATGTTCTTCTGTAAAAGTACAGATTTGATATGTCATGAATTAAGATTAGCTAATTAACTCATTCGTTTAAGATTTAAATTATATTATTATAATTATTTTAAAGCTTATAAACATTTAATTAATAATAATTTACTTTAAATATAACCAGCTATTAGTAAATTTTAAATCGTGCTTATCGTAGTTCATCTTGGTTTGTGATATGAGTACCTACTCAAAAACAGTACCTACACCATCGTAATCAACAATTGTATCGAAAATGATCTCTTGGTCGGATTTGATAAATGCATAGATAATAAAATAATAATTATGATAATTATTATCTATAAATAAATTTGTAATAATAATTTAGTAATATACTATATAACTATTATATGAACACTTTTCTTGCGTAACTTTATATGTGAATAATTCCTAAAATACTGGTTCAAACTTTGATTACCCATGTAAACCATAAATTCCAGAAAAATTGAATTAAACTGAATATAAATTGTTTTAACAAAATGGTGTTCCCGTTTGAAAAACATAAGTTAATATTGCCACAGAAAAATCTAGTCTTATAGTAGGTACTATACAGTGCTCGAATTGACAAAATTAAAAGGGTACTTTGTTTACTTTAAAAAAAAAAGCGTCCCCAAAATTTGTTAAGAGTTATAATTATAAAGTAATAATAATAAGGATACGCTAACATTTCTGGCAATTAGTTGGGGTACTCCGCCCCCCTGTATACATCCACAAATCGAGCACTGGTACTATATATACTAGAATTATAGTACAGGTATATTTTTTATCAGTGGCACAGGTGGTGGTGGGGGGTTAAGGGGTTGTAACCCCCCCCGAAATTTCCTCCGATGTCTAGGTTAAAATTTACAAATTTTACAAGTTTGAAGTATGAAGAGCTAGTATTGAATACCTAGTATCATTGATTATAGAATAGTCTATTCTATTATCAAAACTATTATTTAAATCAAAATATATTAAGGATTTGCATAATTTTGTTAATTGTAAAATTTATTATATTTTTACCTTGACCCCCCGAAAAAAAATCCTGTGTATGCCACTGTTTTTTATAAATCAGCATTATAAAAATGTATAAAAAGGGTATGAGCAAGTCAATAAAATAATTAAAAAAACATGTTTAGCTTACGTTAAATAATAAATATAGAAGTCTTCGTATTAAAAGTATACAAGTAATTTATTTAAAATTTAATTAATTAAATATAATATTATATTTAGGTCTACATGTTGTAACATAAATATAAATAACATTAGTTCTTGATAAATTGAATTTTAATCAGTAATATTTCAAATATTTTTCCGTCACTATTCATTAGGAGAAATTTTACTAACAGTATCAGTCGTCAATTTTCTTGTAGACACAACATTCTTGTAAAATTCGTATGATGCTTTTGGTGTACGCGATCTTTGAGGATCGCTGAAATCTACCTTAACAAGTCCAAAATGAATTCTAAAAAAAGTACATAAATAAAAAAATATAATTTCCTTTGAATAAACACAAATAAACACTGCAATTTTAAATGCGATTCCATTCTACAAAAAATTATTAATTATATTAAAATTAAATGTTATTAATCATAGGAATATTAAATGTATTATTAATAATTAAATTAAAGTTCTTAAAATAGCTTACGAAAAACCATCCATCCATTCAAAATTGTCCAAAAGAGACCATACTGTGTAGCCTTTAACATTACAACCATCTTCATGTATTGCTTGTAATGTAGCATTTAAATGACCCTATTCAATAAATTATAAAATAAGTAAATAATATACTTAATATAAAATAAAATTCATACCTTTAGGTAATTTATTCTATCAAAATCATTTAGCTGTCCATTGTCACCATATCCATTTTCTGTTATAATTATAGGAGGATTTCCATATTCATTATTTAACCATTTCAAAAGTTGTCTTAATCCGTTAGGTATTGACTAAAATATTTTTTAAGTAATTTACGCCTTTAAAAAATGTAAACTGAATTGATATCTTACTGCTAGCCATGGTGCATCAGGTGATCTAAAAACTGATTCTTTTACAAATGTCATATATTCAGCATCTGGATTATAATTAAGGTTTAGATCATTTCCATGAGTTACCCAACGAGAAGAATAATAATTAAGAGAAAAAAAATCAGTAGAACCTGTATGAAAGTAAACTTTTCGTTATGAAGTATAATTTTAACATGCAAAAATAATTTCAAAGTTTGTACCTTTAATCATTTTAATTTCATCATCTGAAAATGTTGGTAATATTGACCATGGTCTTCCTTCTTTTAAACATTTTTTATTTACCCATTCTTTCATTATAGATGGATAGTCTCCTTTGTACACAGGATGGCTAAACCATCCTCTCTAAATACAAAACTATTAGATTTAATAATGTTAGATAATTATAGGCATTACAAAATATATTTAGTACTTCAAATTGATTTGCTCTCTCAGCAGTCTTTATATCATCAGGTGAATCAGCATTTTTAGGTATAAAGAATACACCATTTATTGAAAAACTTATATTACCTAAGAAAAACAAGAAATTTTAAAATTTTATAAAAACTTAACTATGGTTTTACTATGTAAATGTACCTTTTTGTTGAGATTTAAACATATTTTCATACATTCTATATACTTTTCCATGGGCAATAAGTAGTGTATGAGCTGCTAAATAATAGCCTGTGTTGTTTAAATGTAAACATGGGGCGTACAAACAATGAGCGTAACCTTTAGATATTTGCATTGGTTCATTAATTGTTATCCACCATTTTACCTATCACAAAATGTTTTATAATGATAAATAATTCACTTAATAAATGAATGAAATAATTTACTCGATCTCCAAAATGGGTGAATAGCACTCGAGCATATTCTTTAAAGTAATCTGACATAATTGGATTGACCCAACCTCCTAGATCTTGAAGATATTGAGGAAGATCCCAATGATACATCGTAACCTGTATTTAATTTTGGTATATTGTTATTTTACAGGACAAAATTTATTTTAAATTTTTTTCTTCGTGTGTGCTTTTGTATGCCGAAAAGGATGGTGAAATCAGAATTTGGCGGTCGGACTTGGTTCCAAAGTTATAGTAGTTAGAAGTTAGCCATATTCAAGGTTTATAAATAATATATATTATTTATTATTTTGATAATTTATATTATCTATAAAACTTGAGTAATATACAGTGCCGGACGCAGGGAGGGGTTTTGGGGGTTCAACCCCCCCCAAATGAATGGATGATTAATTTCAAACGTAATTATCCTACCTTATGTACCTTAAAAAAATGAATTATTCAAAATACGATTAAAATATGCCAGAAAAAAAATATTTTATTGAGAAAAGTGAAACTGTAATAATTTGTAATTTTCCAAACATCCTAAAAGGTATGGGTAGTTTAAACTCAAATTTTTTAAATTCCATGATGGCAATAATTCGTAAAAATAATGCGTATTTGTAAGTCGTTTATTATCAGCAAGTAAAAATAAATAAATATACGTAATCGATATAATATTATTTATAATGGTACATTATGATTGACGGGTTCCCTAAATATTGTGTTGTATGGTCATGCTATAACGATCGACAATAGTCAATCTATAGTCAATAGTCAATTATTTTAAAATAAAGGTAATCAGGCCCGTATTTAGAGGGGCACGGGTAGGCACATGTCCGGGGGTGCCAAGTCTCAGGGGCGGCAAAATATTTTAGCAAAATTAATTTTAAAAATGATGTACCAAATGAAAAAAAAATAAAACAATAAAAAAAAGAAAATAGTATGTTTTATTATGTAATAATTTGTTTAATTTGTTAATTAAAAAAAGTATTAAACGATTTTCATTTATAAGTTATATTTTAATATTAAAGAATCTCGATTATGGACGAAATAATAAGTGTTATATTATTATTATTTATTTATTATTTTTAGAGGTGGGCATAAATAATATGCCCGGGGGCGCCGAATTTTTAAATACGGGCCTGACGGTAATTATTCTTATTTTTTCAAAACTCCCCCGAAATTTTTTTTTACGTCCACCCCAGATAATATATTTGTAATATTATCATAAATAATAATCTTTATCAATTTTACTATATTAAATTTATGGTTTTACCCAAAGATTTCTATACTAAGATTTAGAAGAACACAATGAATTAATTTTTTACTGTATACTTTTATTGTATGTAAAGCTTGAAACTACTTTTTTGCTAAAGCTTGTCATACACGATCCGGTTTGCCGGAGAGGTTTAACTACGCAGTTTAACCTGCACAGCTTTCCCCGATTTCCGACGACGGCGACACGACTTCACACACACTCCGGTTCGCCAGTACAGTTATGACTGCACAGGCCAAAAGAATCGTTTTTTTTAAACTGCGCCCGAATTTTTATCTATGTTAAAATGGTATAGTGTAAACTGCGCCCGGCTTATTGACTTATTAAAGTCTCTATGTATGCCGCTTTCATATAACACAGTCTTGGAATAGAAATATCCAACAAAATGGTTTAAATAATGACTATAAAAATAAAAATAGTGATATTAAAAGATGGTTAGTTCAATCTTACGGTTTACCATTTCTAAGTCCAGGGAGTGTATCTGAGTATTTTGTCAATTATTTAATGAAATCAAAGCCTGACGACAAAAAAGTGACACGATTTACGGATTATTTGGTAGACGTAATTATAAGTGAAGCTCAGTATTCACCTGAAGTATGGACTCAAGCATTAGCATAGCCAACTTTAACCACAAATGCATGCGAGTCTTTTCATTCTCACTTTAATTCCAGCTTTTATACAACTCAACCAAATATTTTCATGTTCATAGAAAAGTTAAAAGAAATTCAAATAGAAGTATACATTAAACTAAATAGTATGAATAAGCCGTTTAAATTCCAAAACTCTAAAATAAAAATAAAAAATAAAAAAACTTAGAAAATTTAATTAATAAATATAATAGTGGTCAAATTCCAGTCGAGGAATATGTATCCCCCATATATAATTATTTGTAATATTTGTATTTATTTTCCTTCTTAAAATTTTTAATTATTTTTTAATTACTCATATTATATGGCTGTAACGAATTAAGTATTTTAGCTGAAATAATAACCTGGGTGAAGTTCACATGTCACCTTTTTACACTTGATAAAAACTCGGGCGCAATTTACATATCATCTTTTTATACTTGATAAAAACTCGGGTGCATTTTACATGTGTGATTTTGTATTTACATGTATTTTGGACGCAGTTTACAATCGCCGTAAACTATGGTACATTATATTTGAGATACAATTTTATGCTTTTATAAATAAGTTCTGTCAAGTATTAAATATACAAATAATAAAATAATTAGTATTCATTTAATTAGATTTATATTATTATTCCATTAAACCTATTGATAGGTAACTTATAGCCTATAGGATAAGTAAATTAATTAATGTTTTACTATCTTTAATGTTATTATTTAATTGAGTAAATTGAAACGTTTCATATTCTTTGTTTATCATCATGACATCATTATTAACTACTAATTCTTACATGTTTTGTTCACGAAAAATATTTTATTCATAGTCTATGCTCTATAAATATTAAATATTTAAATATATAGGTAACCATAATTTTTTAAATATTATGAAGTCGGCAAATTTAGTTGAAATGACGCCTTTGATACACGTTCCAGAAAAACTGTGCAATTCGCCTGCGCAGTTCGACCTCTCCGGCAAACCGGATCGTGTATCTTTACTCGCTTTATCTTAAATTAACTGGTTTAAATTTTGATGTGTTCAATAAAATTATATCTTTGTGAATTATCGTTTAGTAGTATTATACCTTATGTTTGTGGTTTAGATATATGATTTACTCGCGTAGCGATGTTTTAGATTTACATAAAAAGCATAATCCCATACGCAACAGTATCAAGGCTTGTACAAAAACTAGATTAGGATTAGACTATAATTCCCTTTGCCACCACGAAAAGTACTATGCAATGGCACTCGAGTTGCCGAAACGTTAGTCGTAGCCAGCAAAGACCTACAGTTTTAAAAATTAAAGATCCGTTTTTCCGGGAAAAAAAATTAAAATATTTTAATTCTCGTTGAAGGTTAGTCTAGATTATGTTAATCAGGCAATTATTTGTTATTATTTAGTTAGCTATTTATTAGTTATTAACCATTGAACTAGGAGGTGAAATTGATTATGTAGGAATATTATCTATTTAATCATGTCTATACGATATTAGTGATGGGCATATACGAATTATTCAATTCAATTTTGCTGTTCAATGACTTGTTCATAAAAATAATTATATTGATAAATATCATCATAATACATTCCTATGTTGTATTTTAATATAAATTGAACTCCTCTTTAGAAAAGCTTATTCAATAACCATTCAAAGGCTATGCAATTAAAATAAGTTAATTGGGTATTTATATTCATTGTAAGTCATATAAATATAAAATAAATTCAACAATTTAATAAATTGTTATTTTGGGAAATGAATAATGAACACTATTGAAGTCATGATAATCATAGTGAAATTCATAAAATATAGTATTAATTTATTGTTACAATAAAATAAAATAAGTTATTTTACTTGAAATTAAAAATTATTATTAAGTTGTAAGAAAGCAAATTCATAAATCTGAATAATCCGGATATTTCGACAAATCCGGATATTCGGACAATACCTACAGATTTTTGGATTTCATGCCCATCCTTACACGATATCGTTGAAAATTCGTAATTTTTAAAATTATAAAACTCTAAAATTAATAATATCCACCAAATTTTTTTTCGGCATCATTTTTAAAACTCCAAATAGCTAGGTTTTTGAAAAAAAAAAATAAAAAAAAATAAGAGTGTCCAGTAATGTAATAAAGTTGATTTTTTACATAGCTTTATGATGTATTTTATTGAAATGTGAAAATACTTACAAATGGAATAATATCATTAGCAATGAGTTCATCAATAATACGATTATAGTATGCTATTCCATCAAGGTTTAAAGAGTTAACTTCCCCAGATGGCAATATACGAGTCCATGATATTGAAAAGCGATAGAACTTCAGCTAAATGAAAAGAAATTGTAATTTATAATATGCAATTACTTAGTATGTAAAAGAGGACAAAACAGAATACTTACATTTAAATTCTTTGCCAGTGCTATATCTTCTTTGTATTTATGATAGGAATCACAAGCAATATCTCCATTGGTTCTATCTTTTATTAATTCTGGACGATTATGAACCAAATGATCCCATATATTAACTCCTTTACCTATATTATATTTATTAATAAATTAAAGTATGTCAACATATGTCTATAGATGTTATTAATTAAGGTTATATTATTTTACCATCTTCATTCCAAGCTCCTTCTATTTGATATGCAGCAGTTGAAGCACCAAATAAAAATCCATCAGGGAATTCATAACCCATGATTGTGTTTATCCGTGAAATAATAAATATTATTTGCAACAACGAATTAATTACTAATTTTCGCTGTTTAATGTTTAAATTCATTGAATTCATTTAACTTATAGTTAAGTTATTTTATTAGTTAGTTTATTTATGAGTAATCACTGACTAATTTACTGACTTCCATTTATATATCTAATCAAAACTTATATAACAAGATTAAATATAAATTTATTTTTTAAAAAACACCAATTGCAAAATCTTCTTGCAGTAATGATCAAACGATAAGGAAAAGGAGATTAATGACCCATGACCTTGTTTTCATTATTCAAAATATAATATTTATGATTTATATAACGTATAAAAAATATATATTTTTTATCTACCAATAAAAATAAAAATAATGTAGTAAATATCCATAGAATAATATTATCTATACTATAATTATTTATTTTAGTGGTTTATAAAAATATACGGGAATTTTGTTATTAATACTTATTGATCAGTCACATTATTTTAAATTAATAAATTGATAAATTATAACTACAAATTACTTTTTTATTAAAAATTCTAATAAAAAAGAATAAAAAAACATTTTTTTAATAGTCCAAAGATTTTGTTTTATAATTTTTTGTAAAAAATAATGTACATAATCAGTGCCGTAACTGAATTACTTGAAGCTCGTGTGTAAATCAAATGCTGAGCCCCCTATCATTCTACATTTTTAGCATTAAACCTTATGAAGCCCCATGATATGGTACGACCGGGGCCTGCGTGCGATGCATACTCTGCACACCCGGGTTTTACGACACTGTACGTAATTATTTTTTATTAATATTTACTACTAATAAGATCCAAAAACAAATTAAGCATGTTTTTATGTACATAAATATTAATATCTAAATTAATACATTTAATTTCAAGATAATTTTAATTTATACGCAATTTTAGATTTATAATAACTGTATACTGATATTGCCTTTATACGGCGGAATATTATACCTACCTGCTTTAAGATACGTTTTCCTTAGAGGTTCCAAAATGTTTCACATACCTACCTTACAAAAAGCTCACCCTTTTCAGCATTAAAATACAGCCGGTTGAACGATTTTTCCCAATTTTTTTGATAAGAATAAGTTTTTAATACTTGATGAACATTTTGATCTTTGATTAACTTCGTGGGTGAAGCTGGTGAAGGTATAACCGGTGGGTCATCAATGTCTTCTTGTTCATGCATCGGCCACATTTATTTTTTTCGAAACATATCTAAAATAGAATTGCTTTTGCGTTTTGATATAATTACTGGCCAAAAAACACTAAAAGACGGTCAAACTAATACAAATCAAACAAGACAATCAACAAGACGTAGTCGTAAACAGTGTACAGACGACAGCACATTTTAAAAATTACCCACATGCGATAAGGTATCTAAAATCAATTATATTGCCGTATAATTTGATACACATTAATTGACTATTGATATACGAAAAGGTAATACCCCAAAAAATTATTATACTAAATATTTATTTTTTTTTATTAACAACCGTGACGCACAAAATAACTTACAATCGTATAATAACTCGTTTCACATATTATCGCATCACAATCATATGTAGGTAGTTTACGTAATGTCATACATTTTGTAGAGGGGTATACATTTTTCCCTGGGGGGTATTACGTCCCCGATCATCACCCTGAAATAAACACTGTTAGGAGCGCGTTTTTTGCGCCGCAGAAAACAATCTCAACATAATAGCTCTATTACATTGGCGTCAGGGCAAAACGTCTTACGCGATGTAGAAGTGTTTTCCTACGAACTAGTGGCAGCGCCTTGAATAATTCATTACTGAAAATGTGACTAGTGTGTAACGTTTATTGCAATTAATAAAGACGACTACAACGAGTCATTACTATGAATCATCTTGAAAGAAACAAGAAAATAATTGCACTGCTTATCAAGTACGCCTATGGGAAAATTCTCAAGGGGGGGGGACAACATTTTAATTTATCAATCTATTCATAAATAGGAATGACCTACGATATTGGAAGGGGTTTACAATTTTACATTATACTATTACATTTTATATATATATATATATATATCAAACTGGAAGACTATAAAATAATAATTATTTAACCAATTTACCATATAAGTAATTTATTGAAATTTTTATTTAATTAATAATATAAATTGGACACTTAAAACAGTTATATTTATTAAAATATTAATTTACAAATATTATATAAATATTATGGTTGTGTACACACACAAATATATACAGTGAACCTGACTAAACGAACTCCTTCTATTACGGACACTGACACTAATATTTAACCCGACAATTTCATAACGGACAAAAATACATACATGCTACGAAACAGCGTCGATAAGGAACGCAATTAGGTCATTCAGTGAAAACACGGATTACGACCAATTACATTATCGCCGATTACGATAACGCTAATTGCAAGTAACCTATTGAATTTATAAAGTTGAAATTTGTACAGAAATATATCCAGATATAAATTGCAATACGTATAAATGATAACCATGAGTATCAAACGTTTTTAATCAGTTACTATCGGTTCGCAGTCAGAGTTGTACATATTTTCTTTAGCAATGCCACCTCCCGTGCCGTGAATTACTCATTCATCACGAGTTGGAAATCACCAAATCGAAGTTCAAAAAACAACCATCAATAGAATCATTTTTTAAGAAATAATTAATAAATTAATATAAATATAATGTAACAAATTTATAATATGTCATTGTATGTATGTAATATTAAAATAATAATTAAAATTAAATTTATAATGTATGTGCATAATGTGTATATAATATTAATAGATTATACCTAATACATATTATAAAATATAAAATAATACAAATGTACGTAAAAATTGTAATTTTTAAAACATTGAAACCTGTCTATAACGGACAATTATTTTAGTCCAGTGACTGTCCGTTATATACAGGTTTCACTGTATATATATACCGTATTACTGGAAACACACAATATTTTAAGAATTTATATTTATCCATAGAATAGAAACGAAAAAGCGTATTGTTATTTATAGTTGATAACCTGATTTTGCAACTAAATAAATAGATTTTTCATAAACAAATTATAGATTTTCATATATTAAATTAAATTTTTAAATTCTATTTAAATAAATATTTTCTGATCATAATAAACAATATTACAAGATTTTTGACATTTTTCAGGGGGGACATGTTCTTCCCTTGCCCCCCATATGGGCGCCCTTGCTGCTTATTTTTCGAGGTAGGGCCGGATTTAGACTTTCGGATGCCCTGGGCAAATCGATTTTTCAAGGCCCCTAGCAGTAAAAAATTAACATTATCCATGTAGTAAAGGAAAAATTAAAAATTTGCATACTTGCCCGTTAAAATGATCTGCCTAAACTTTTTTATTTCAAGTTTAAAATATCACTAACTATAAATATAACTATTCATGCTTCACAAATCGCAAATTTCTGTATGAATAATAATATCACAGTTTGATTAAATGTAATTTACAGTAAATACTAAATAGTTAGTAAGTAATAAAAAATAAATACATTTTTATAAATATGGTACTTTTAGAAGTATTAAGTCTGACTTATAAAAATTAGATATACATTTAGTTTTTTTAATGTAATTTTCAATTTTTTTTTCTTTTTGCTTTTTTAATTTTCGATTAGCATCGCCACTTCTCTGGATACTTTTCATATTCTGAAATTCAAAATATTTTATACCTATCAAGAATTGGTACTAAGACCCAAAAATAATGCCTATAAATTAAGTTGCATTAATTAATATATACTATTAAAATTAAATTATAAAAAAAATTATATAGTATGAATACTTAAAAAAATTGTCGAGCTTTTTTGTTACATGCTATGGTATATGTAGGATTTTATTTCTATAGGTCGGTAACGGCTCATGTCTAGGTGTACAGGTGTAATAACGACTCATAACAAAAGAATATATCTGGTTCTCTATTTGCTACATTTTACAGTAGTAGTTTACTGTAGTAGACTATAATATAGTAATAATATATATATATAATAATAATATATTATATTAGATTCATATATAAAAATAACACTGACTTTTCACCAAAAATATGGTCAGAATATTTATCATCGATATACGTGAGATTGACAATTGTGAATTTTTCCATGGAATTTAAATAGTTCGTTTAATTCTTCTCACCCTAATATTTTTAATTCTATAGATATTTAAAAAAATATACAAATTGATACTTATATAGCGTTACGAAGTCAGTGCTCAAGAAATAGAATAACAATTGAAAAAAAAAATGGAAGAATTATAAATTAAAAAAAATTACTAATTTTGAATTTGTGAAGCAATTTTCATTCAACTTTTTACCTACATTTCGACATTTCGTAAATGGTGTCGTTTTTTTGCTATTTTTCATCGGTTTTACGCAATCATTGGGAAAATGATTGAGAAATATAAAATTAACTAATACAAAATTTGCTATCGAAAACCACCCCTGATGTTGTTGATAGGATCAATTTTACTAAGAAAAATTATGTCCACATTCATAAAAAATAAAAATATGTGTATGTAAAAAAAATAAATATTTATAATTGTATAGTCCATGGGGAGTTGAACCCCCTTGATCACGCCCATGAATATAAATATATACATAAGAGGGTAATATATAAATAAATATAATATACTAAATATCTATACATATAATTCTAGCATAAAGTGATTTACTAAATAGCGCAGAAATAAAATAAAATAATTTGTACAAAAAAGAAAAAAATGAAGACGACAAAAAAAACGTATAATATATTTTATTTTATAAAAGGATATTTTCATTATAATTACTAAATTACACACAATTCATTTGAACATCACGAGCCACTGTTATAGGTATGAGTAGAATGGTGTGTCCTATTTACTTAAATCATTAGTTTTATAATATCAAATCAATACTTAAATCAAATTTAATAATAAGTTATTATGAAATAGGTACATATTTAAAATTATCTAAGCAGGGAAGTAATACATTACAACACAGTTAAATACATTTTTGAACAACATGGAATAAAACTTACAAAATGTATTTCGGATGCGGAAAAATTCAAAGTTGTCTGCCTCCACACAGTGGACTTGAAATTTTGTACCAAAACACTTAACAAAATTAAGCACACTAAAACTGAACAGTAAACATACATAACGGTGCGTCCTAGGTAAACGCGATTTTGCGAGCGGGCGAGAGGGCGAGCGACGCGATAAAATTCAAAATAGATTTAATTTAAACCTTCGAGTCGTTATATAGTTTATTTTTAAACACCGAGGTAGTAGTACCCGGAAAACAGTCTGATAATGATAAAGCGTAACATTGACTTCTACGTATCACTTTACCATATTAAAATAGTGCAGTCTATGTTATTTTGATTTTTCGTCATTATCTATGTTATGATCTTTATTGTCTGAATGGGTGTACGTACAACACAACAGCGACACTTACGGTGCGTCCTAGGTGAACGCGATTTTGCGAGCGGGCGGGCGACGCGATATTCAACGCGCGCGAGCGTCCTGGTTGCGGGCGGATGATTTGTAGACGTAAATATTTTTCGATTATTTTCAAGTTGATGATCCAAGTTGATAGTTGTTTGTTGTGAACGTAGTACATTCTTAAAAATTATTATTATTATTATTATTTATTTAATTGTTATAATATTATGCAAGTTTATTAAAAATAATTATACGTATTTATTGTATACAAAATATGTAAAATATGTAATAATGTATAATCGCTTACTTGGCATTTCAACCTTTGTGGATACACTTTCCCACGCTTGGTCCACTAATATGCGGTTACGATAATTCGTATCTTTCATATTATATAAAATAGATTTTTTCTGAACTTCAGAAACAAGAAGTTCTACTTATGAATCCATGTTTTTGAATAAATGTTCAGTTTTATAAATTAAAATACACAAACAACTGAATTGAAGTATTCAAAAATAGTACTAGTCGCCCGTGTCAAAAACAAAAATATTTTTTTTTGACGCGAGCGATAATATTTTAATCGCGAGCCCGCCCACTTGTTTAACTTCTAGATAGGACATTCCATAAATTAAATCTATTTTTAATTTTATCGTGTCGCCCACCCGCTTGCCCGCTCGCAAAATCGCGTTTACCTAGGACGTACCGTTATAGTTTTATACTACTATCATAGATTAAAAATACATTTATATTTAATCAAAGCATTTAAAAACATTTAATCATTACATACTAATATATTTGTGTATTCTCTAGATGGCCCAATCCCATACTCATTTTATAGATCAAATAATATAAATATAATAAATCTATATTTTTATTTCAAGTTGATAATTTTTTCATACATTTCTTAAACCAAAGGTAAATATAAAAATTTATTTTTAAAGTATTCCGGCATCCGGATGCTTCCCCCAAACATCTGCTGCTCAGGGCAATTGTTCTTAAAACCCTCCGTCAAATTCGGCTCTGCTTCGAGGTATAATAATCGATTTGTTTCCTATTAATTTGCACCATCAAATTCTTAATTCTTTTTCGGTTTTCCTTTTTTTACTTATTATAATCACCTTTTTACATTACACCATAATTCCATTATTATTATCAATTTACGAGTATGTTATGTTATTACACTCTCGCTGGGAATCACTTTACAATCTTTTACTCTTTTTATACTATCTCTCTTCCATATAAAATAATCTACAACCTATTTTTTCTACTCTCATATGTTATATAATGACATATAATGACTCTTCTCTTTTTTTAAAATATGTATTTACAAGCTCATACGATGATGCAAAATTCAAAATTTTTTCTCCAGCCTCATTCCTCTCGTCAAATCTATACTCTCTATGCACTCTTTCGTACTTAACTCTCTCATTACTTACATATATGTCCATTCATATTACCACCAATCACAGTATCTTCATTTTCTAGTATTCATTGTATCATCTCATCCATCACTCGCCAAAACTTTTCTTTTTCTTCACATTCTTCTTGTGGTGCAGACTCATTTATTACGTTTAATATGTTTTCCTCAAATACCAATTTTACAGTAATAATTCTATCGCTTTTCTACCTACGTTTACTACCTACTTTTCATCCGTACTACCGTATCCGTACTACCGTCCTTTCTACCGTACTTTTCATCTTCTCATACAATATTACTCCAACCCCATTACTAATACTAATCCTACCTGAATATATTATTTTATAATCCTCTCCTAGTTTTTTGCTTTCTTTTTTTTCAACTTAATTTCCTAAACACAACAAATATTAACCTTCCTCCTCTTTAATACTTCCGCAAAATTCTCTACTTATGCCTGTTAACGTTCCAACATTCTACGTGCCTATTCTCACTTTATACCTATCTCTTACAACTAGACGAAAATTTAACCAGGTACGCAATGGTAATGTTCGTACACCGTTGATATTACCCGTATTGGGTAAACTTGAACATATAACTGGTGAATCAACTACCACACTGGTTGTCCGGCTGATATCACACACTTCATAATCTGGGCCTCCTCCACCTTTAACTACTCGTATAATAATTTCTCTCACTTATCGTCCCCGCACACATCCGGGATGGGACAAACCCTCTAAGTTTTATTTCAGACTCCTCATATTCTTTGACAAAATTTTTACACCGGTTGTCAACCTAACGCGACCTCATTTCATCGCTTCTTACGGCCAGCTGAGGAACCGTGGAAGTATTATGAATTCTTTCTACAGGAGTCTTAATTTATTGATATAAGTATTTAAAATGTTCATTATAACGTTAAAATACGAGTAAATGTTTGAAATGAACATATTTACGCTTTTTTTTTATTTAAATTAATAAATTGTATCTCTTTATTTAATATAATATAGATTGGGTTATAAAAATACGTGAACTTTATAGTTGATATTAAGCTGTATCGAAAATTTTCAACTATGTAATCTAATTTATTAAATAAATTTTATCAAAATTTCTAAATACAAAAGATACTTAAGTTGATTTTAAAAATTACTGAAAGTTCTAAATAATTTGGAGCAATAAAGTAAATATTTTTACCAAATAAGTTAGTAATACAAGTGACGAATTTGATGAATTAATGGAATGTTTTGATAATGATTTGAATTATACGTCGAATAAAGTAACCGAAGATCTTGAAACATTAGTTACACTCGAATATAAGAAAACTAATTAAAAAAGTTTAAAATGGTTACAACAACCATATAAAATTGAAAATTATTTTTAGGCGATATTCAATGTTTAAATGCACCAGAATTGATCTGTAACATCTAAGAGAAAAGTCAGGTCCCTAAATAATTCATCACCTTCTACAAGCGCACTTAATGTATTCAAAAGTTCAGACAATAGTGAACAGAACTGATAGCAGTATGCCGCCAGATGGTATTTGATATGGTTCAACAGATTTCAGCAGTTGACCGTTTAAAAAATCCAATAAAATACAAAAACCTCAAATTCTCTAGACAACATAGAACTCACACATTCTACGAGAAATGTCATATACATTTATGTTCAATACATTCCTTATAGACCGCTGGGTCAATTTTGTGAACTTAACTGTATTTCCGCAAATAAAGGTGGAAAAATTATCAAAAATGTAATATGTCATACTGAAATAGCTAAAATTTTAAATTTATAAAAAAAATATTCTTTTACCAAAAATAAAAAATCAGGTCTGAAAGCATTAAAACAGTTTTATAATAATTATAAAACTGTTTTAACTAAATCATATCAATATCATATCATATCAATATCAATTATTGATATCCTACTTATGATTTAGTTCAAGAAGCTAAGAAGAAGTGTTATCCAAGGGAAACCGGTATATTATTGAGTGAAACAAATGTGGAAATAAAATTACAAGTATTGCTCGATCATACAGTTAAACATATTCTAACTTTTGGTACAGTAGATAACATCTTGAAATTTAATGCATTGAACTAACATTTTTAACAGAATTGTATTGTAATTGTAGTGAAAACTTAATATAAGAAAAAAATGCTGAGAAAAGAATCTCAAAATTTGCTCAACTTTAGTAGTGTAAATTAGAGGTCGTGATTGTGAACGTGTATTAGAATAAACGGAAACCTAGACACGCGGGCAAAATATATGTATGATAAACCCGTGTTTATTGCAAATTGATTCAGAATTCATATATACATTAAATATTAATATTTATAATAGAATATTATATATATTCCAATAATTATTAATTTATACATAATATTATAATAATAATATATATATATATATCATAATATAAACAAAAAATATAAAAACTAAAAAAAAGATTAGTTACATAAAATAATATGATTATAAAAAATTATATAGATTACAGCATACAGGCAAGGAGTATGCCAATCCTTGAATGGGCAAAAAAAATGTTTGTAATCATGTGGTGGAGTGCATGCGACAAGTGTCTAACAAGCGGTGGGATTTCAGATTATATTCAGCACATGATGTAGGAAAATGTATACTATATCATATGATAAATAATAAGTCAATAAACTAAATTCTATCGTAATTGTGTGATAAACGTCCCGTAACCGATTAGTAGATCGTAAACTGCGGTAGAGCTCATGCGAGAAGTTAGTCTAGTCTTTTTTAGAGTTATTGACTTTTAATCAAGTTTTTACTGTTGTATTTAAGTATTTCACATTATTTTTTGAAGAGAAAATTACAATGAAAAAAAAAATACAGTAAAAATTATAAAACAGCGTTATCTTTTAATAAAAAAAAAAGATGAAATCAAATCTAATAAGTTAAAAATACTTTTTATATTATAAATTATAATACAGGGCCAAAATAATTGATAATGATAATTATAATAATATATATATATTATTATAATTATATTATATTTATAATTATTATACTAATATAAGGTAATTTATAAATTATATTGTGGTTTTACTAACTTAATAACAGATAATTAACTTAAGGTAGCATGCTCGTCGATACTTTTGAAAAGTAGACTCCAAAAAATAATTATTTAATTGTAGATAATTTAGTACCCAAAGCTATAGTCACAGAGTCGCAAAAAAAATTCATAAAACCCGCTCAAATATTGAAAAGAAAAGTAAATAATATTATTTTTTGAAAATTACATTTCACCTATTCATCACTTCACTAAAATATTTTAAATTGAATATAAAAATATTAAAATAAAATAAAAAAAATTTTCATTTTCTCTTATGTAATCGCTTTGCTGTAATGTGCAAATAAAGGCGAATTAAAAAAATAAATAAAAATAAAAATAAAAATAAGAATTCAGAAGGCAATTTAATAGCTTACGCTGGCTTTACATCTTATTAAATTCTAAAATTGATTATCCTGAAATACTTAAATGTTTCAAACTTAACGTTAAGAATCACATCTTTATTCTATTTTCTTACTTGCAAGTGTAACAATTGTCTATTCACACCGGTATACCAAATGTTAACTCCAGATAATTAACTTAAAATGTTGATTTTTTTCTTGAAGTTAAAACCATTGCCGTAGTCATCATCTTATCTTTTGCATGGTTATCTCCGAGTTCAAAACCAATTTGTCAAAATTTGATAAACTGATTTAATCAGTTCTTATCAAATATTTGTCGGTTGTTATATTTGCCGCAGCATGCCGGCTAAATTATTTTTAGGCTACATTACGATTTGGTTGTTTTATTGTCAGCTATTTTATGCACGCCTTATAAAAATTGTAAATAATAAATTTAAAATTTAAAGGAGTTAATGGTAAATATTCGAAATAATAATAGTATATAAATAAATGAACAAATATTTTTTTATAGAAATAAATTCTTAGTCTAGAGCAGCGGTTCTTAAACTTTTGTAGTTTACGGACCCCTAATGAGAGATTTTTAGAAATTGCGGACCCCCTTACTAATTTTTTGTTTAATACTTTTTTTTAGACAAAACATCTCATGTTATTTAAACCAAAATAATTATAATAATATTTATATATATTTATATAAATAATTATTTTATATAATAAATTACATTAATAGACATAACAAAACATATATATTTATAACTATTCTTATTTCACTTAATTTTTCAGTTAACTTAAATTTAATTATTTTAGTTTTAATTTATTTTTTTAATATTCTTAAAACTTAAATTTATTAGCTTAATATGATGGTTGATACACAAGATTTATAACATCGTGTAATGATAAAATCTATCTATTATATAATTAAAAATATATATATAAAAAAAATAATAATATTAATTATTATTATTTATTAACAATATTATAATGATGCACTCATTTCATGTATTGATGTACATATGTTATGTTTTAGGGCTGCCGAGGACTCCCGATATGAGTATCGCGGACCTCTAGAGGTAATTTGTTGGTATTGAGTTAAACTATAAATATAATTAGAGAACAGATGAAATAAAAATGTTGGACCCCACATAAAACATTCCTGGGTACACTCCTGTGTTACATACTTGTTAATTTAATTACTACTGTTGCAAATAATAATAAATAGTGTCCAATACCATAACTACTGTGTGGTAATTGAATCTGCACATTAATAATTTATTTTAAATGTCATTTTTTTCAGGCAAAATACTAGAAATTAAAAAGTAGCACTTCAATTTTAAAAAAATGATTTGAAAATGTTTTAGAAGTAGGTTTAACCGTTCTTTTTTGAGGAGCATATATTATTATATTATTAATTTTAAGATTTTTATCATGAGTTATAATAGCGTTTGAGATTGGAGAGGAGGGCTGTTGTTCCTCCGAACAATTTTTAACGATTTATATAAAAAGAGATGACCATAAAAAAAAATTTGGGAGAGGAGGACCCTTAAATTTTGCGAAATAAAAAATATTTATATTTTAGAGGGGGTTTTAGAGCTCTCTCGCCCCCCCTTTATTTGTGCATATGCCCTTCCTATTTCCTAAAAACTCTTTGCTAGGGCCCACATCACAGGTTGGACATACGAATCCTAAATCGGGCCCTGATTGCAAAAATAAATATAATAAAATATACATATAAGTATATAAATATTTTGGTACATCCATATATTATTAATTTTTATAGCTATGATATAATATTAATATTTATATAAGTGTTAGTTTGATATAGGTATATAATGTTACAATTATGAATTGTCAAAATCAAAAATGCTGGGATGTACGGTCTGGAGCCATCAGTATTACTCGTTTCGTGAAAAGCAGATACTCGACAACGTCGGCAAGTAGGTCAGCGTTTTGTTCCATGCGGAAGTGTTCCAGGCCGTACCGTTCGCACAACGTTCGGCGCAACGCGTCTACGCTGACGCCGCGACCACGCGACCCAACAATCACGTCGCCGATGAACATCACCAGATCGTCGAACTCTCGCTCGCTAGACATAGGGTGGTTTCGGGTCGAACGGTGATCGATGCGGTTGAATTCGATCGCAGTAAAACGCAAGTATATCCGTTGGGTTCTATGATATAATTATGATTTGGTGACTACTAACATTCGAGTGTTCAACGATGGTTCCAAAATTGTTTTGAAATTTGAATAATCACGTTTGGTTTTCATAAATCATGACAATTTCTCATAACTAGGATGGAGATGATAATTAATGGTTGTGAATTTGTTATGTTCTTATTGCTGATATAACCATAGACTTTATTAGTATTAGATCCATGGATATAACATGTAATGGTTAGAGGTTATTATTAATTTAATACGATAAAAATAAATAAATAAAATACACGTGTATTTGTAAATACCCGTCATTATCCATGTATCTAAATACCAGACATTACCCATGTATTTTATTCTCCATGTTTTTGTATTGTAATAGTTGAGATTTCTCTATGATTAAATATTAAATTTCTTTATAGCAATTGTATTACATTATATTTATGAATTTTATTATTATTTATTAAAAAATCTAAAAATTATTTTGTTAATTAAGAACTTATTTAATATACAAATAGTATTATCAGTGCTCAACAAGAGTAAATAAATATATCTAAGAAACTGATAATTAAAGTTATGACAAATAATACAATATTTTTATATGTATACTTAAATAAACTCAATTTTAAAAAAATATAAATTATTAATTAATTAATTAATTTTAAGTTATAATATTACATAATATTTTGTTTTTAAACATACGAAAATATAGGTCATATTAAAGACTAAATAAATAAATCTAGACAATCCTAGAAAATGTAATAAATAATAATTGAAGTAACTAACATCAATAAATAAATAAATGAATAAATAAATAAATAGTAGTAAAAATAATAATAATAATAATAAATTATAATAATTGTTTGTTTTGATAAAGGAAAACTAACATATTTACAGTCTCGAGCGCCAAACAACTTCTCATAGCCGTTACTATGTTTCCAGCGATCGAGAAACACTTTTCAAAACATACTGATGTTGCTGGTATACCTAAATACTTAACAGCTAAAATAACCATTAACGGATACTTTGTTGCACGCGTCATCCACCATTCCAAAGCATCAGAATCAAACCTTAGTTGTGGTTCAACCAAGTAATTTTGATATTGAACTATATAATCAGCTGTATTACAGTTGTCGTTATCACCGTATAGAAATACAAGTGCACCAGAGTTGTTTTTTGTCTCAGACAGTGGCGCACACAGGGAGGGTCAGGGGTTAGGTTAGTTGGCTAGTTCTGTGTGAACTTGTATGAATATTTGTTTAATTGAATACTAACCAATTATTCAGCTATTCAAATCAATATACTAATTAAGTTTACCCTAGAACTAATGCGTCACATGAGAAGTAGTAGGGCTCAATCCCAAAAATTATGCTATACAAACTTATAAATTAATACCTAGAAAATTGAAAATAATTAATATTAGATTTATTTAAAAAAAAAATTTTTTTCTAGTATTTTTGTTAGTAAGAAAAAAACAAAACCACTTAAAAATAAGAGTTATACTATGCCTGAACTCAGACTTTACTGGTGGGTGTGGGTGGGTACCTCGAAATATATATTTTCGACACCCTTATAAAAAAATCTTCTGTGCGCCACTGGTCTCAAATGTTTGAATTTGCATGTCTCTTTTATTTTCACTAATATTATATAATAAACTCTTAATTCGTGTTCGAATTTTCTCTTTTGCATCTGCTGCCTCGTGTTTTAAATCTTTGTATCTTAGGTCGAAAAAAGATGCAATTTGTCTAGCAGACATGACACTGGAAGGATTTCATTCTAACTTAAAACGATTTTTTAATTCCTGAATTACAATGTATTTAAAATTGTCAGTAATTTCATCGTTAATTATTTTTAATAAATCGTTAATTTCATCGTAATTATATCATCTATTGTGAATCTATGGTGCCTCCAAGCCTCCACGCGTTCGTCAACGACGCGTTGTGAAATCATTTCATTTGTGTGAATTACTGCGATTTCGTCTCTCAATTGTTGTAACTTGTAATGTGTGTATTCGTATTTCGTTTCGTGTGTGAAACTTTTTTGTATAACTACAGTAACATCTTAGAAATGGAATGAATTGAAAATTGAATTTTGTTGATTTTACTCATTAATAAAAACTATTTTAACTATTTTCTAAATTTTCATAATTTCACATTTTTAATACTTTTCCAACGATTTTATAAAAATATCATGAAATAAAACTACCAAATTTTTTAAAGCTAAAGTACATAATGTATTGATGTACATTGTTTATATATATAATTGTATATTGATATTGTATGTATGGTCAAAACGATTGACAAATTGATTATTTTTAAAATCATATCGGTTTCGTCATATTGCGATTATTGGATTCATCGTATTTACAATGCCTACAGATAAGATTATATATTAAACACAAAAAACAATGAAAAGTTCATTGAAAATTATATAAAAAAAATACTGTATTTAAAATCATAAGTACTCGTATAATAAATGATTTACTGACTGGAGAATGAAAACTGTTAGTTTACCCGAAGATTTGACGTCAAGCGATTTAGTTTATTTTAAGTACGCTCCAATCACATCAATCGACGTAGAACGATGATTTTTGAAGTATAAAAACTTACTGGCTCCAAATTGAAAAACATTGGATTTTGAAAATTTAAAAAAAATTACTTACAGTTCAATGCAACAACATTTTTAAGTACATGTATATATATTTTTATACTTCATATATAAATCTTTATAAATTGTAATTAATGAGCATAGGCACAATTGAAGCCCAAATATTGGGAGTGCTGAAATGAAGTAGCTCACACTAACCCTCACACACACCCCCCAAGTACCATATCTCAATTTAGTCACTAAATGTACCATAACAATTTATATACATTAATATTTTATTTTATAAATATAAATATTAACAAGCCTAACCTATATTATTTTATTTAGGTTATACAGTAATAAGAAATACATAAATTAAAAAAATATTATACAATATATAACGTATAATATTCACACTAGTATTATCTTGCAATGATTAGTGGAATATTTTCAAGTATTTCTGATAATGTAATTAACTTATAGTCATAAACAATTAATCTTTTTAATAAAAGCATCAAATAAAAATAACTACACAAAATAAGAAAAATACTATTTTTATATCATTTTTCAATTATTAATTTTTTATCTTAGGGGTGCTGAAGCACTTTTAAGCACCCCCCCTAGTTGCGTCTATGCTAATGAGTCTGTTTTATATAATATATAATATATAAATTAGAATAAGTTAATGGCAGATAAAATAAACGTAATTTTATGAATAATAACAAAACATTATTTTTTTTTAGTGCAATTTTAGATTCTTTAAAATGCAATTTTCGATATATCTTAGTGCAATACTGCAATCAATTTTACTACTATCTTACTACTACAACATCCATGCCCAATTTATTAATATCACGAAAAAATTATCATTACCAATAATTACAGAAAAACCATAGGGCAGTAGAATTAATGAAAATATTAAAAAAAAACTCCACATTATGATCAAAAATGAAAATTGTTAATTTAGAATAAAAAAAAGATGAATACACGCCGTGTTAAAATCCTGTGAAGAAAGAAAAAACCAAATCAAGACAAATCATATAAAATATATATATAAATATTATAAATAATATAATAAATATAAAATTAATTTATTAATTAATTATTATTATTATTTATTATTAATTTATTATTTATTATTTATTTTATTTATTTATTATTTATTATTAATTTTCACTAATTTCAACATCCTAAAAATATAAAATTTCTACATAGAAAAAAGGTAATGTAGTAAAAATTATGTAACTATAAAAAAAAGTGGAAATGTTTATAAAATAAGAGAAAAATTGGAAATATGAAAAAATAAATATATTATAAAAATGGTAAAAAAAAAGAAAAACCCTGTGAAGGGAAAAAACCAAAAAAAAATGACGAATTAAATTAGGTAGTTGAAAAAAGTAGTACCATACAAAAAAAGGTATGAATAATTGTATAAAAAAAAAAAAATCTAAAAAATGTATAAAAATGTATAAAATATATAAAATTTATAAAAATGTATAAAAATATATAAAATGAAAATGTTCTGGATCACGATGTCTTCCATCCACTGCTGATTAAACATACGATTATGCATATGGTCTCGGTGGCGTTACTACCGACTTCGGATTTAACATCACTTCGGAGACGGTCGGTTCGATCGATCCTCCACCCTCGATCAACCTCTCCAGGTAGAGAACAACGTTTGAGGAGTTCTTCCACCCCTCAACGCTGACGTGTACGATCTCCACGCGTCCAAAACCATGGTTTCTCGACACATCCGCAGTCTGAGACATGTGGATAGTTTTGGGCACGTGGAGAACGATAACGGGGACGATTTCACGCGCCAAATTGAGAATGCCGGCTAGTCCACCCTTCTGGCGGCTGCACAAATCCTCGGCGCAGAACCATGGGTTTCGATCCCACGCCGGGTCGCCCACGGTGAAGTGATCACCGCGTCAGACGTCACTCCGGACAGCGCAGCGAAGCTATAGTCGACTCGAAACTCGATCCGGTGGGCGACTCCCTGTTCCGCGGCCTTCTGGCGGGCCAACGGTATTTTGGCCGGGTCGATGTCCACGGCGATCACCTTTCGGCTCGTTCGTGCCAGCCGAACGGCCAGGCGGCCGACACCGCAAAACGGGTCGACGACCGTACCGAAAGCGCACCTTCGGGCCAAGTGCGCGGCCAACACGTCCGGGCATGTGGACACCGAGAAGTGCAACTTATCGACAACAGGTCGTCGCTGGAACCGCCAAGCGGCCGGTTTCACCTCGGCGTCGGGGGGACACGGGTCCCGATGTTCTTGGGCGGTGGTCGGTGGTTTCGACGGTTTTAATGCAGCGAACCCATCAGAGGGGCCCGACGGTAACGTACTGAGGAAACTGAAGGTGGAAGCGGTCTCTTCCACCGCAGCTCCTCCGGTTGTCACAACCGAGTCCTCTTCGGGCCCGTCTTTGGCATTGGTACGCTTCATATGATCCCTTACGGTTCTCAGCCAGTGCTTTAATGTTCCAAGTTCCGTGGACGGCGTCAGATGTTCCATCTCGGTGAACGCTTCCGCGGTCACCGGCAGCTCATCCACCTGAACGCCGACGTCCGCGTACTTTATCTCTCTACACAAGATATTACGAAGTTAGACCAAGTTAGTTTTATTTTTCGGTACACAATTGTTGATTATAAAAAATTAAAATTAGCAATTAAAGAATCATTTTTAGGATTTTATCCCTTGTATAAACATAATGCTGGAAGGCATGTCAATTTGATAAAAACTATTTT